TTCAACCTGGTTTGATTTTAAAGATAGCTGGTACAAGAACCTACTTTAAGGTTCTATTCTAAACCGAAATGGTTGGATTAAACCTGGTTTGATTTTAAAGATAGCTGGTACAAGAACCTACTATGAGGTTCTATTCTAAACCACAATGGTTATATTAAACCTGGTTTGATTTTAAAGATAGCTGGTACAAGAACCTACTATGAGGTTCTATTCTAAACCACAATGGTTATATTAAACCTGGTTTGATTTTAAAGATAGCTGGTACAAGAACCTACTTTAAGGTTCTATTCTAAACCGAAATGGTTAGATTTAACCTGGTTTGATTTTAAAGATAGCTGGTATAAGAACCTACTTTAAGGTTCTATTCTAAACTGCAAGGTTAGATTAAACCTGGTTTGATTTTAAAGATAGCTGGTACAAGAACCTACTTTAAGGTTCTTTATGAACCGAAATGGTTAGATTTAACCTGGTTTGATTTTAAGGATAGCTGGTACAAGAACCTACTTTAAGGTTCTATTCTAAACCACAATGGTTAGATTAATCCTGGTTTTATTTGGAAAACTGATGGTATTGAAATATTGAAAAGATTTGATAAAAATATATTTTGTAAAGAAAAGTTATTTTAGATAGAATGGAGCTTGAGAGTAGGCAAGGAGAAATCTTGCAGGGAGGCCATCGTCCCTGCTCTGCCGAGATGAGATCCGTCCGTCCGTCCGGACGTATGTTGCTGCACTGCCGGTCGTTTAGCCTAAGTCTGTCAGTCTCGGATGGTATATTAAATTGGGTCGATTTACGGCATCTATTTGAATGAAACAACCGAACGAGTTTCAGTCGGTTACTATGGTAATGTCCATGTCACTGGACTAGACCCAGGAATAGAGTTAAACCTGGGATGATTTTTACAAAGGTTAGATTAAACCTGAGTGATTTTACAATATGATTTTATAGAAAGGAACTTGAGGGTAGGCAAGGAGAAATCCCACAGGGAGGTCATCGTCCCTGCCCTGCCGAGATGATGTCTGTCCGTCCGTCCGGGCGTATGTTATTGCACTGCCAGTCGTTTAGCCCAAGTCTGTCAGTCTTGGATGGTACGTTAAATTGGACCGATTTTCGGCATGTATTTCAATAAAACAGAACCGAACGAGTATCAGTCGGTTGCTATGGTAATGTCCATGTCACTGGACTGAAACCAGGAATAGAGTTAAAACCTGGATGATATTTACTAAGGTTAGATTAAACCTGGGATGATATTTACTAAGGTTAGATTAAACCTGGATGATATTTACAAAGTTAAGATTTAA